TTGGATGGTACATCATGCTATGAAAAAATGGAAAATGGAAAGGGTAATCTAAGAGCCAGGTTTCAGTGATGTATTTATAATAATTGTACCAAAAGAAACAAATAAATTTACTAAATTTCATAACTATAGGTAAAACAATAATTTATGAACCAAAACTTTTTTTAATGATCAGACACGAGACGTGCACCATTTCTATTAACAAAGAATGAGAAATTGAGAATACAAGCTAGTGATCTTGGGAGATCACAGACAAAGAGAAAAGGATAAAAAAAAACCACCGCAAAACAAAACAAACTGTACATGACGACTACACAAACCCAGGGAAACAAACTCTTTAGAAATATCCTTATATATACAACGCAGAGTCAACACCATTTTCTCAATTAGAAACATCTTTCTCGAAGAAAAAAGAACTAGCTCCCGGTAACAGAAGTCAACATTCGCAATTGACACCATGCAACTGACAACAACTAGAACATAACAATTAACAAGTGCACTTGTGTGAAGCTACCAAGGAAGGACAGGGCATGCAATGCAAATCCAAGAAACAAGCCGGGCGTGATGTGGGCTGAAAACGGCATCACAATCGCGTTGGACTAAGAGCTAACGCCAAACTAGAGTGCTCCAAACCAACCGTCTTGAAAAGCGCCTTCCACAACGGCTGCAGCAAATATTGGTTGTCCTCTCATCATTACACATGCATATTTTTGCAGATATGCAGCCTGTTCGTTTGCTCGTATACGATCGTATATTATAAGCTGAAATAGTATTTTTCTCTCACACCAAACCAGCCAGCAGTAAATAATCCACGATCGTTTACGGCATGCCGAACAGGCTGATGTATGTGGATTTGTTCCACAACGGAGGATTGTGGACATTGTAGGCAGGGATGTGAAATGTCTAAGAATCGATCCTTTATCTCTTATTAAACTCTTTAACCATTACATTGGATTGGGCATGAAGATTGTTCAATTGTCCATTTTCTGAACTGATAAATTCAAACAACAATTATTTTTATAATATCTTCAGTTATCTAACTACCTCGACATTTTCTAAAATTAGTTTAACTGATCCTCAGCTCCTTAGGTAACATCAATAAATTCCTTTTTTTATTGATGAAAGAAAATTGTATTAGTATTTTCTTTTTTTTATTTAGAATTGCACAGTACAACAAAGACGTCCACAACACGCACGCACACTCATCCCTGTGAACACACGTATGCAAACCCTACCATATAAGCACCTCCGAATGACTGAGCCGATAGATCACGAAATTCACGAAGTCACCATAGGCGCTTCGCTGTCGACGGGGACGTCGCCTACCACTGAAAGCATAGCGCTGTTAAATCCGATTGAGGACTTGAACCAGGGTGGGCAGGTTCCACCACAAGAAACCCAACCAGCTGATCTAGTACAATACATCAAGTTGATATTTGTGTTTTACTTTTGCAAAAAAAACTATTATAGTTCAATATTGCATAATTGTGATTTATCTTTTAGCCCATCATGGGAGAAGGGACCAGCAGTCTATCAAAGAACAAAACGCTAACACAGAAGGCTAATTTGGAAGGAAGGGTAGACACATCCAGGGATGAAAAACCCTTCCATGAAGAACTAAATAATTATTCAAATTATTTTCTAATGGATTTTTCATCTAAAAAAAGTCAGAGATCCCAAAAGAGATTTGAGTTTCTAAATTAACCCTGAGGTGGGGTGTGTCTTGACATTCAGTGCTGAGATGACACTCGAAATCCTATCAGAAGTGGGTCATAACCTAATCCACTGCCCATTCCACGTGTAAGGAGCGAGCAGAGCATCCAGCAAGCTGCACCACATCCTATCCTATGCACCACATCTAGAGGCTATATGTGCGAAACTATATATATTTTCAGAATTCAGATGATAGGATTAAGTGAGTCACCGAGCTAGATCGTTTGGTTGCTGTGACACTGATGAGCCAACGTACTGCAATGGTGACACATCGTTTGATTGCGATGGTTCATATGTGGAAAAAAATGGAACCATCAGGGCGTTCAGCTTCCTACTGAAAATTGTATTTGTAAGTTTGAAGCTGCAGATTAAAGAAACATATAATCCTTTTCCAGTGGATCAACCCAAGACTAAGGAAAGGTTGTAATTCTAGTTTTGTATAGATAATTATATAGCCCCTGGTGCTTATCCTTTTTTCTTTTTTTTCTTCTCAGCATTAGCTGTGCACTTTTTCTTTCAGATGCTACCACAGACAACTGCACTGTAAGAGAATGTCTTTCTTATATGTACACGCACGTAAATTATATTACTACTATCACCATCATCAAGGATTGCCATTGATTGAGGCGACCTGCACGACAGTAATAGATTCTTAGGTTTTTAATCATTGTAACATCTACAAATCTTGGGGCACTTTACGTGGCTGAGATAAATCGTGTAAACATACGTGCAAGTGGACTCCTCTGAGCCCTGTTACGCTGCCTTTGTTACCTATTTAATTTAATTTAATGTCTTGTATTGTAGTGCTTATTTTTTAAATTAAAACCCTTTTGTATGTGTCTGTTTGTTAACTTATTGCAAGCATAAACAACTGTGGAATTGTTTCCGCATCATCAATCATGGAGGCATTTCTCGTGTTCTCCCTTTTGTTGTCAGCATGAACTTCTTTTTGGTCTTTCCCCCAGTGAGGCCCGTGGGACGATCTGTAGGATACAGAACAAAGGCCAGAGGGAACACGAAGAGAGAAAACAAGATCAGGGAGAATAAAGATACGGAATTAAAAACAGCGGGGCACCACCGAGTCATGCTGTGGTCGCATGCAGCTGGATCCCTGAGCTGAGGCTGAGCTGTCATGCTGTTGGCACTGGCTGTTTTCTGGTTGCTCACTCACGCTGGCTGCCCCCACTACCCTACCCAATATGGGCTGCATAAACAAGGACACATTTATTGGCTTCGTTACATGTACCAAGGGCCAGTATAGATGTCGAAATTTTTGGCGAAATGTTACTGTAGCGTTTTCGTTGTTATTTAGCAATTAGTGTCCAATCATAGTCTAATTAGGCTTAAAAGATTCGTCTCGTGGATTTCGTCTAAACTGCATAATTAGTTTTATTTTTTATTTATATTTAATGCTTCATGCATACGTTCAAAGATTTGATGTGACAGAGAATCTTGAAAAATTTGGTATTTTGGAAGAGAACTAAACAGGCCCCAACAACGGCTTTGCAATACCATGTCAGTTGACTTAATGCCTATGAAACCCATTAAGGCTAGCCTAATGGCGCTCGTTTGATTTCGTAAATATTACCATTTTCCTTGTAAACTTAGTTAAACATAGTATAATTTGCGAATTGAGCGTAGCTCAGTTGGTTGGGTCCCTTGTTTGGTGGAACTTGTCCACTCGATTTCAAGTCTCCGACTTAACATGGGTGCTCGTATTTTCCTTGATTTATTTCAGGATTTAACGGCGCTATTCTTTCCGTGGTAGGTGACATACTCGTCGATAGCGAGACGCCTGTGGTGACTTTGTTAATCTTTGTTCTTTCACTGGTAGGTGACGTGCCCATCGACAGCGATGCGCATGCGGTGATTTTGTCAATCTTGAGAATTGCCAGTCTAATTTAGTTCTTTGGAGGTGCTTATAGAGGTAGGGCGTGCATGCGTGCCTTCATAGGGTGATGTGCGCTCGTGTATATGAGCGTCTGCGTTTGTAATTGGGTCTCGCAAAAAAGAACATAGTAACTCATTTGATCCCATGAAACTTTTATCATCTCTCTTCATGTATACTATACCATGGCTGTGTTTGGCTGGTGCATTCAATAGTGATTTTTGGATGGTTTTGGATGATTGAATAGTATTATGTGAGAGAGAACAAGCTGAAACAAGCTGGGAGTGTACCAGCCGAACGTGGTGCATGTCAGCTTACTTAATGTCAAAAACCCCACTAAAACTAGTCTGATAATGCTCATTTGATTTCATAAATATTGCCATTTTCCTTGTAAACTTAGTTAGATATAGTATAATTTGATTTAGGACAAACTAATAAATTCTTATATGTTGGGACAGAGTGAATATTACCTTTGTTGCAAGAGCCCGAAAAAGTCAATTCGCGGTATCCAATCTGTCCATATCCTTCTTTAAAATAATGCTAGGAGCTCCAACATTCACTTCTTTGTGAAGGTGCTTCAATTTTTATTTTTAGTCGTCGTGTGTACACTCCTTGGTATCCACAGCGTTTCTCTCGCCACTAGCACGGGGCACCAGCAAAGTTAAAAAAAAAAAAGCACGGGGCACCAGCATCCCCGCACTACAGAATATCCGTTCGAGCCTCATCCACCGTCCGATCGCCAAATCCAACGGCCACCGTTTTCCCGAATTAATGATCCTCCGACATTTCCCCAAACACGAGTGCGCCCCCCAAAAAAGAAACGGAATACTGGGTATTTATTGATTTTCTCCTACCCAACCCACTTTACGATTTCCTCCTCTCCCTCCTCCTCCCTTCCTCTCTTGAACCCTCCGCCGCTCCGAGGAAAATTCGATTTGAATTGAAATCATCCGGAAACAGGAGATTTTTTTCTTCCCGAACCAAAGGTATCTCCTCTCTCTCGATCCGATCCGTAGCTGCTCGCGTCCCTGTTCCCTCGCTGGCGGCAGCGGCGCTGGGCAAGCGGCGGCGACTGGACGAGGTCTTCATCGGCTCTTCGCGGGCGACGATCATCCACTAGGTACGCCGCCCTTTCCTGTCCATTCCTGCCGTGCGGAGCCGAGCGCCTCCAAGCTGTATGCACTCGGATCTGACCCAGTTACGTCCCACTAATTCGATTTTTGGCGCCTATACTGTCCCCGCCCCCTGATCTGTTGGTAGCTCACTGCTGAACTTCAGCTTGAATCCTCCTTCCTGGATTCTGGGTCCAAGGTCGTGCTAGTTTGGCGTTGAATTTGCTCGAATCTTGGATTCCGGTTTGAGATGAGCTGTTTGTCCTTCTCAGTTTGGTGGCTCTGAGCACATGATGATGGCGAACGCGAAGCTCCATAAGCAGGCGCTGCTGCCGCCACGGAGCCCGTTCCCGACGGCGGCGGCACCGTCGCCGTACGCCGACCGTGGCCCAATCGCGCGGCCGCAGGTTGGCGCGGCGCACCACCGGCACGGCCACCACCAGCGCACGTCGTCCGAGAGCTTCATCGAGGAGCAGCCGCCGTTGTGGCTCGATGACCTGCTCAACGAGCCCGAGACGCCCGCGGTGCGGCAGAGCGGCGGCCGGGCTGGGCACCGCAGGTCGTCCAGCGACTCGTTCGCGCTGTTTGACGGTGGAGCTGCTGGCGCTGGTGCCGGTGCTTACGCCAGTGGCTTCGAGGGGATGGGGAGAGGAGGCGGGCAGCCTGCGCCGTGGGGCGGTGTGCAGGAGTACTATGCCAAGCCGGCCTCGTTTGGGAGGGTACATGGCCGGCCGTGGGAGCAAGGCATGCCGAATTCGGTGGGTTTCAGGCATGGTGGTGGCCTGCCAATGCCCACAAAAGATAAGGTTGGTGGGCATCATGGGCCACCGAACGTGCCGAGGGAGCATGACCATGGCATGGACAAGAGAACTCCTGATGATGCTGGCCATGATCAAAAGGTTGGACCCAAGGAGGGTGTGCTGCCGAAGCATGCACAGTCAGAGGCGGACAACAAGCGCGCTAAACAGTGAGTTTGATTACTGTTGAATGTGAATTTTTGTTTCGCACTTGCACAATGCTACTACAGTATAATCTGAAAAGCTCAAGACATTTCACCGTAACCTTAAGCACAAGACCCTTAAATAGACATTTTTTATAGTTCACACTAAGAATAGTGCATATATTGTAATTTGATGTTTTTCTTGACCTTGAGAATACAACAATCATTGTTGTGATGAAGTGAGCAGCATTTTTATCTGAAGTTTGTTCTGTATGGTTGCACAGACCATTCAGTTACTGTGAACACAATATAGTGTGAGCTATATATTCATTCCATATGTGTTGTAACTTACTGAACAATTGGTATTGAACAGGCCTATGTGCATGTGCTGTGAACCTGTGGTTTGTGCGCACGCATGGTCAATGTGTAGTACTTTAGAATTGACCTGTGGTAACATAAATGAGAAACAACTTACCCAAGCTTTCCAGTTTGCAACTTGAGAAATCCTGGAATCAGATGTGTCCTTGTCAGCTATAATGCTTGGAAAAATGTGCCAGACCTGATCTACACTGACTGAAAGTAAATATATCGAAATTTAGAGATATTCAATCTAAACTTGGAATCATACAATTTAATATTTAATTTAGGGCATAATGCTATTCAATCAGTCCTATTTATTGAGATTACAATGATTGCTCATTTTTTGTTTTCATTAAGGTGTCATTTCAATTGGTTGCAGGCAATATGCTCAGAGGTCCCGTGTCCGGAAGCTGCAGTATATTGCAGAGCTTGAGGGTAGAGTCCAGGCATTACAGGTGAGCTTACCACGGTGAATGGTTTTTATTTCTCTTTAAATTTGGTATTATATGTGACGGAAAGATATTCATGTTCAAATCATGCAGTCAGAAGGGGTAGAAGTGTCTGCTGAAATGGAGTTCCTTACCCAGCAGAATATTATGCTTGACCTGGAAAACAAAGCCTTGAAGCAAAGACTGGAGAGTCTAGCTCAGGAACAACTTATTAAACGCTGTAAGTATTGTCTCTAATATTTTATTTTATCTTATCTCGAGATTGTGCTCTCCATCCAAATCATTTCAGTAACTTGCATTAGGTTTTCCTGAGATACTAATAATGTGTCAAGGATAGATGCTACGATGAGACATTGATTCAAATAAAATTTTCACTTAACTGGATAGTGGCTCTGCTTGTCATTATTATTATTATTATTATTATTTTTGGTTTATCTTCATTTAAGAGGACATTTAACAATGGTTCTTATTGGGTTTAACCATTTAAACATCTACTAAGACGATCATTAATTTATGAAACAATGTCTTCTCAATTGAAGCAACAACAACAACAAAAAAAAAAATCAACGACATGAGGACATCCCTCCTAATAACTTTAAAGTGAGGGCTTAGTACTGAATTGTTTTCTCAGTAAGATGTATCATGTACATGCATCTATGGTCGAACCTTCAATAGAGCTATTCTGGAAATTTTTGGGTTTTAACTAACTTGTCGTGAACTCAGTTGACAGATCACTCATTGTTTAATTAATTCAGATATCCATGGAACCTGTAACTAGAAGCTGGAAACCAAACTACCTAGACAAGTCAAACTTGGTTAACCCAGTTTCCAACCTTTAACAAGATGCAAAAAGGAATTTGTTAGTATAATTTGGAAAAGCAAGGTGGTACCAATAACATCTGAAATTCTGCAATCTGCATACTAGCATATCATTGGCCCAATATACATGCTGAACTTGAGGCAGTAGGTCACGAAATTACTTAACTGTTTCATATATACATGTATATTACTTTGTTAGGCCTCCACTATGTTGCTAGTTAACTACATTATCAACATACCAGTGGCTCTGTATTTCTTAAGACCTATATTGTTGACTTACTATATCTGTGCTTAACAGCCAAGTAGTAAATAGTATCTTAGAAATTTAGTTGGCCTATAAAACAAGTACCTAGGGTCTTACATTTGTCAAAAGAGACGAAGACCCTCTTTGGCAGGGCTAACATTGAAGCCAGGAAAAGCCATGGTTTTATGTCTTCAGCTTCTAGGCGAAAATGGCTTTACCGTTTTTGGCTTCATAAGCCATTCTCGTGTGTGCACATTTGGCAAGGCTTTTGATTAAACCGGTGGAGAAGTCCTTACAAAAGCCCTGCTAAAGAGTGCCTCAATAACTGCCGGTCTGCTACTTTACCAATCGTAAATATAAGGCCATCTAGGGTTGTCCAAAGTCAATTTTTTCAAACTTTGATCACCAAGCATCAATATCTGAAACTTTATATGAATTGCTAACACAAGATCGGCATTACATGATTTCTTATGAAAAATACTTTCATAACATATTTACTCTTTTCATTTAAGATAATAAATTTTTGTAGTTACTGCCAGTCAAAGTTCAGACCGTGTCGATGTCCTATAGAACTTATATTTGCGATCTGAGGAAGTATCTAATCAGAAGCTAGGCATCTTCTTTTCGTTAGTTTTCAGTTCGTCAGAAGCAGTGCATTGCTTTGTTGATACTGAATGCCTGCTAAGATTTTGTTATTCTGATTAGAAGAAAAAACTTTGAACATTCTTTCTCAATTTTGCAGTTCAACAGGAGATGTTTGAGCGGGAAATTGGTCGTCTCAGGTCCTTATATCAGCAACAGCAGCAGCAGCAGCAACAGGTTCCTGCTCTTGTTCGTAGTAACAGCAGAGACCTTGATGTGCAGTTTGCCAACTTGTCTCTGAAACACAAAGACCCCAACTCGGGCCGGGATGCTCTCTCTGGGCCTCTTCGTACTTAGTTCTTTTCATCCTTCCGTTCTTGTGGGTTCTATCAGTTGCCACCACCGTGTGGCTGTCATCTCGACCAACAAAGGAGAAGTGCACTTGGATTGCGTGAATAACACCAGAAAAGGCTAATAGCTATGGATCTGATGTTTATTATATCGGGATATGCACCTGGCGGTCATCCTCAGCTCGCGTCCATTGGTGATGCTCGACCAGTCGGCGGTGTTTAGGGTTTTCTTTTTAGCTAGATGCTTTTCAAGCATCATTGTACCATTTCTCATGCTAGGGTTCTAATCTGTTACTACCGCTTTCTTTTTTCCCCTGAGCTGTATTCTTCATGCATCGTAGCCATGTTTGGATTAGTTCTGCGTTATTAGTGGAATGTGGAGCACTAGTCAGCATCAGGTAAGTTGCTTTGAAAATGTGCCACATCCTTGATAACTGTATGTTGTGCTATTATTTCTCAGTACTCAATGAGCTAGTGCAAATGAAGTATCAGCGATCTTCAAACTTCAGGTTGTCCTTGATGTTGTTCTCCTATGAATATTCTGTGAATTGCACAGCATTTCTTGGTGATGTTAAAATTTGGCCCCATAATTGTATATTCTATATGCAAAGCAGTGCTGAGGTATCGTTAATTTAATTTATTGGCAGCATGTCAAATTCAGTCTGTAGATGATCAATGATATTGTCTACGGAGTAACTGTGTGTCCAAGACCATCATGGTAGATGACTAGATGGGGCTTTTACAACATTCTATAATATCGAAAATATGTTTGTTGAAGAGTTTGATGTTGGAGCATCAATATGACTTTTCGAGTACGTGTTTAGTCCATAACCTTCTGGGAACTTAGTTCTACCATAATACAATATTGTTATGTTCAAAGAAAAACAATATTGTTTAGGTATCATAATAATACAGAAAAGGAAGCCAATGAATACAGCCACTACACCTACATCAGAGAACTCGAACAATGACTGAATTCCGAGCTTCCGACTCTCCAAAGCAGTAACTTTTGCAAGCTAAGATGATTTGCAGTAACAGTGTATATTCAGCACCAAGATTTTAGCAAAATCAGCTTAAATGCCCTAGAATATTGTGTTGGCCTCAACAAACACTGCGTTCATTCTATTTCCGATCAACATCCATTTCTTCTGCAGTAGTATTTTTTGCTCTATGGTTAGCCACGGCGTTGTCCAATGTCCCTCTGACATGTTGGCACATAATCATCAGATTCTGCAAAGCATCTTTCAGTACATCCTTTGCTGCATCTCGTGCCAATATAAACAGGTGTCAGGAGTGTGAGCACCCTTTTGAGGAACTAGAGCAGCAAAGAAACTGTTGAGTGGTCATTTAGTGGGAATGAGAATATGAGATGGCACCACTTAGTCATCCGAGCTGAGCATAAATTGTAGCATCAATGTTGCATTTTAGTATCAAACACTCGAAACAAACAATATATTAAATATACTAGATGTGTAGTCTCTGGGAAGAAACAATCAACAAGTTTCCCAAAACACATCGTAGTGTTATATTAGAACCATAATAGTTGATTCAGTGCATCATCATAATAATAGTTATAATAGTTGATTCAGTGCAACATCAGGTAAGTTCCCCAAAATACATGATAGATGATTCAGTGCATCATCACCACCATAATAATAGTTATATATTATATTAGAACAAGTGAAAGAACATCTATGTACCTACAAGTCAACTAGAGATTATAGGGAGTAGCCAGGAGCACAATGAAATGTGATTCTTGCAAATTCACTCAATAGCCATTCAATGGAGGACAAATCGATAAAAGGGGCAACAGTAAAGCTTATGTTGACTGATAATATTCACTTATTCAGCAATGTCTGAACTCTTATGTTGACTTTCTTCTCAGCAGGATGAGGGATGCTGTATCCACAAAATGCTACCCTTGGGCTGTAAAGACAATAAGAAGGTAAATATATACAAAATTATTAGTCTTCGATTCCAAAATATACAATATTTCTGGCATCCACATCAAGTGTCTGCAAGGCCGACCTTTTTCTCAAGAAACTCTAATGCAACAAATGGCTTTAGCATGAAGATAGTGATATCATTTGCGAAGATGGTCCTTTGGAGTTGACACAATAATCTAAATATCATATATTTTCTAAACATTAAACCGTTAAACATCGCCCTAAGAGCTAGAGTGTGTATTCAAACAAAAAAAGTTAAAGCTTTAAGAGTCAAACTGGAACAAGTAGGCCCTAAACATTGCCTTGAGACTTAGTGTGTGTATGTTAAAGCTTTAAGAGTGCATTGGGACTTGTTGTATGTATGAGAAGAAAGTAAAAGCTTTAAGAGTGCCTTAGTGCTTAGGCAATGTAAGAAAAAAGGGGCAACAGTAAAGCTTTAAGGTTACCTGACTTGATTGAGATGTCCAGTTCTCTTCAATAGGGTGTGTACTTATTATGGAATAAAGCAAAGCACAGTAAAGGTAACTGAAAACTGGTCTAAAATTGGTTCAAGCACAAACCAATGTAAATTGATGATCGACAACCATATCAACAGAACAATGGTAATTTCCAAAGTAGTCTAATGTTTTGTGGTTGCTAGCGATAACAGCAGGGAGAGGAAGAAATTACAGTATCCCTCTAGTAACCCAGAAATGTACCAAAATGATCATATTACCACCAATAACTACTCCATAAAGACCAGTTTACAAAATCACAAATACATACTAAAGTTCCTACTACTTTGCTGCTTGTTTTATCCTCTGAGCACCATCTTTTGTTGTCATCATCTGGTAACAGTTGTTTGCTGGAGGTACATAATCTAAAGAGAGCAATGACGAAGTCTCATAGTCATGATCTGCACTGATAGATCGACCTATTTTCTGAATCCCGAAACTAAAAACATCAAATTCTGGCAGCAACAGAAGTTCTCCCTTCCAACTAAGTTTCATAGTGATGACCCACAAGGACAGGCCGACCTAATTGAAGTGAAATAATGTAGCAACAATTTTGCTAAAATCACATTCTGGTGATTAACTCTTCTAGTGCATCATCCCAGAAGATGGCAACAAAAACCATGGACCATGGCCATCTACAAGAATTGTATTCGTGGCTCTTATCAAAATGGCGTTAGATATGCAACCAAGATAGAAACACCAACAGACCCTCAAAACTAAGACATAACTGACCGTCCTCCCATCAGCTGTTACGGAACCTTAAACCCCTATAAATTGCAAAAACCCATGAACAAACTAAAGGGGGATACTTCCTCCTCCAAGAACGCTTTGTTTCATCTATTGGACTATGCCAGCATAATCACAACGATCCGCAGATAACAAGCAAATAGATACTGATTCTTTGGAAATTGGACAAAGAAGGGGAAGAAGAAAGCCTTCACTTACTCCTCTTGGTTGAGGACGAATCTGGCGGAGTTGGCGAGGGTGTGGTCCTCCTCCATGGTGGAGAAGGTAGATGAGGTCTAGTCCGTCAACGACCCGTGCTCCATCGCCGCGCCGCCTCCCTCCGGTCGGGCGAGCAGTGGACTGTGATTCCCCAAGAAGCACAAACAAGATAAGAACATTGGCAGGAAACAGAAAGGATGCGAGGAAGCGAAACCAAACGAGAAATCAATCAGAACGCACAAACTCACCAGTGGCAGCTAAGGATTACTGGAGATTTCGCAAGATACCCTGGAAGAAGGAGGAGAAATTTCTCGCCGGGAGGGAGGTGGCGGCATCGCAGCGCAGCGAGTTTGGATGGACCTTTTCTACAGACAAAACGGGCAGCCCGCAAACCGTATGGCCTGGTGGGCAGGAGGATCGGAGCCCAAAAAAAAATTATAGATAGGACGAGTTGTATCGAGAAAATAAACCCAAAAGTCACCATATTCACGTCGCGCCGCTTTTTTGTTTTTTTTTGTTTACTACTAAGTGGATGAAAAAATAGTAGAAAAACACAAGATGCACGGGGCACAGACCCTCACCCTCCTCGTGGACCTCCTCTCCTCCCTCCATCGCATGATTCACACTTTCGCAGCACAAGGCTGGTAGCACCGCAATAGAGTGCACTGCAGAGCAGCAACAACTTTAGGTCGCTGCTCACCTGCTCCCCTGCTCCCGGTTGGCGGTGACGGGCGGGCGAGGGGCCACTGCGAGCGGCACTGTGAAGGTGTGCAGTGGTGGGAGGCGGGCGGTGGGCGGGGACGCGAGGCTGTTGGGGCCAGCGACGGCCGGGCGAGGGCACGGGGGCCGACGACGGCTGGTGCAACAGCGGCCAGTGGGCGCTTGGCGGCCTGGGCGGGCGACGGGCGGCGACGTCCTCGACTAGAGACGATCCGGCAATTGCAGATTAAGGAGGGATCTACTGGTTGGGCTAGGGGATGGAGGAGTGTGCGAATGTGGGCTTTCAATGGGCCTCTCACCTCTGGTAGGCTGAACAAAGCGAAGAAAAGGCCCCTTCTTTCTTCAGGTTCTAGCGCCGCAACGTCGCCTACTCGTGCTCGCTGCTCCAGCGCTCCTCGCTGCCAGTGTTAGGGGAAGATAGGGCGAGCTCACCGGTAGCTGGGGGCGGCAGCCCCACACCCCTAGGGTGGCTCCGCCACTGCCGCAGGATACCACAATACTCCACCTTTTCCCATGTGTTGCGAAGAAAAAGAAAAAAAAACATCGAATGTTCCTACAAATCAATGATAGAACTTGTACAAATCTATTTATGTTTTGTCCTTTCTATAAATTTTAAAAGTTATAACTTATTTATAACGACCATAAATTACACAATATAAGTTAATGTTGACAATGATGTCATTGTCTTATATTAAGCCTCGAATTAAAATACAACCTTGATGGATTTTTTTCTTTCATTGAAGAACATATAAATATTTAATCATAATTTAATTTTCATATTATTTATGTGTTGGTACAATTAAATATCGAGTTCAGTGACTTTCTTTAATAATCCATAAAAGTCTGTAGTTCTAATATCCGATTAAAATAGTTGCTGATGTGCCAAAGACCGGTTTGTCCCA